GAGCACTCCTCCTGCAGGAACTTAGTTCCCTCCACCTCTCTGCCCTGAGCCTCTGCAGCTCAGGAGAGGCTGGAGGGTTACCGGACCCAGAGGCACCTGCAGGCAGTGGGTCCTCCATCACCTCAGGGGCCAGAGCAGACTCAGCTGGTGCCTGCACCTGAGGATCCAGCACAGGTGAGGACCCTTCAGGCTCATGCCCCAGCCCCGGCTCAGCTGGTTCTGGAGGCGGGGGCTCCTGTGCAGGCTAGGATTCCTCAGGTTCAGCCTCTGAGTCCGAATCCCAGGCCATCACAGACCAAACCCTTTCTCTAATAATACACAATGATACATTGTTTTCGTTCAATTCACCCAGTAAGGAGTTATCAGGTTCCTTTTCTCTGTGAACTCCCATCCGCATAACGTAAATGACTTTGATAACATCCCTCACCTATACAATATTTGGCAGGTGCAGATATCGACCCAATCTGATGTTACTCACAGCCCTGAGGGCCACTCCTTTTTGCGTGCACGTGTCAGGCATAAGTCAGCAATAAAACAACAAAGCACCTGATGCCAGTGAAGTTACGGTAATTCTTTATTCAAAGAAACCAAACAGCTCAGCCCTAGTGGTCACAGCAACCCTTCCTAGTAGGTCTTGCTCCAATGAAGGAGTTGCAAGCATTAAAGGTCCCTGCCTTCCCGGTTCCTTTCCAAGCAATCTGATGTTCCATCATCTTGTCTCTCTTTGCTCCGCCCTCTTCATTTCTCTCTGTGTTCTGGGAGTCCAGTGGAGAGGAGAGCTGGTCTCAGCAGGAGGGGAAGACTCCCTGGCTTCTTCAGCAGCTGCTTCATCTCTGTTTCCTGGCCTCCCTCCTCTTCTGCCCCTAATTCTGACATGCCCTCTGCCACAGCCTCTTCCTGCTCCCTAAACCCTGTTGCCTCTTCAGCTTCTAACACCTCCTCCTCAATCTGCCCCTTCTTCTCATGCGTCGTTGTCCCACCACCAATCCCCTGGCTCTGAGTCTTCTTCCCCTGCCCTGGGGGTTCCCTTGGGGGTTCCCTAGCTGGTGCATCCCACCACTACTCTTTATCCAACCAGTTCATGGCAGCATGGAAGCAGTGAAGGCTCATCTATTAGGGCAGGGAGGACACAGTCTCACTAGCCTCTGTCTGCTCTCAGTGAACCCAGTCTGCCTGCCTTTATACTTAACAGCGAGCTGAGGGGATGGTCCTCCCTGTCAACTTTCTCTACTTCAGTCTCAGTGTTGCCCTTCTAAAAATCAGCAAGGAGGAGGATGGGGACAAAACTATATTTAGTTGGCTCTGTCTGTCACTGGCTGTAGCTCCACCTACTGTTGGCCTCTCTGCCTTCCATTCTGACAGTCCCAATGGGTGCTGCATAGAAGCAGGTATAAAGGATGCTCTGCCCATCGATGACTGCATCCCTTGCTTTTCACGGAATCGGGGCTGCAGAGGTCTATCTTCTCGTCTGCAGCGGATTCCTCTTAGAATTTGTGAGGCTTCACATTTTTATGTCTCCCAAAGTTCATCAACAGTGTAGTAATAATAACGAAAACCAAACAAGAAACACATGTGATGCTGCATTTGAAGTTAATTAAGGCTGTGGTTTATTTCTGCATAAACCACATTTGTAACTTATTGAAAAACAACATAGTTTATTTTAAAATATGCATTACATCACAAGCAAAGTGATTGTAGTATTACCAAAGCAGAGGAATTCAGGTCTGTATTGGAACAGCCTTTGCTCATTAAAAAAAAGGGGGGTGGACAACTATGAAAATCTTATATATCTGCATTAAGTAGGAGCTGAAATACAATTAGAAAAAAAACAAAGGAAGTTTATCCTCTCTAATTCACTTACAAGGGCCAAATACATTAAATATTGAAATGCAAAGTTTGTTATGTAAATGCGAGGAAGATGATTCCATGAATAAACATTAACGAAAAATACAGTGCTAATGTCTCTTGCAGTGCACAGCACTCATCTCAACAATCTGGAAAAGGAGACAGGAGGTCCATTGTGGGGACAATTTACAGAATGAAGAAATGCACATAGAAATCTCTTTGCCTAGAGAACATAGAACAAGTTTCCTGCCATTTGAAGCAGGAAGGAATTGCAACCCTAACTCTTTCAGAATGGGAGTAATTTTCATTACCTGTTGACTCACTGATGACTTCCTATTGACTCATTAATAACTTCCTGGAAGTAGCCAGCATAAAGAAAAGCTTGGGCTTTGAGGAGAGGGGAGTTACAGTCCAGGCAATGTGAGACAAAATGCCCAGAGGACTTCAGATGCACAGTAGGTTTTTCCTTTCTTTCTTTTTTTAATTAAAAATTGAAAGCAGATTTGAGTCTGCATGAGTCACTGTTCTGAGCATATCTCCGGATTAGAAAGAGACAAGCCTGGCGGCAGTGACTCATGCATAGAGCAATGGGCAGCTTCCTCTGAGGATCACCTGTCCTTTCTGTGTCTCTCCACCAGGATCACTGAAAAGGCTCTCAGAAGACTCTGATTGGAAGGAGAGCCCCTAGAACAGCATATCATAAGAAAATGCAAAGGGAGCTCTGAGCTCACAGGAACCTATAATTTTTTTGTTTTTCACTTTTTGCAGCACCCCGGGAGATTCCTGACAGCACACTAGAGGTTTCCAACAACAGTGTGGGAATCCCTGGCTTAGATTAGCACATCTTAATACACATGCAGGGAGCGACAGGCGGAGCCATACACAGCAGCAGAGGTAGTGCTACTAGCATGGTCCCACTGCTGCTTTTTTAGGCACAGGTTTCCATTGTGCCTTAATTGCATGAAAACAAGATGGGAGGCAAGCTAAATGGGCAGTGGCAGCAATGGGACACGCTCAGATAAGGGTGGAGGGGGATGCTTTGGTTCGCATTTTTATTTCAAATCTTTTTAATTTGCCCATCCTGGAACAATACGTGAACCGAAACGTGGCTATTCTTTGAAATTTTCACTTTTCTGAATAGTGCAATGCTGTTTTCCTGCCAAATAATGTGTCCATAAATGTGTCTATTAGGGGAAAGTGTGCCTAAAACCCATACATTAGTGAAACAATGCATATATTAGTGGAAATACGCATATATATGTACATATATTGTTGGAAATATGCATATATTGGTGAAAATAGCATAGAAATGTGCATTATAATAGGGGAATCTGCTTGCAAAACTGTGCATGTCTGGAGAAATTTTGTACTAAAATGCTGGTGAAGTGGAATCGTGGAAAACTGAACTTAAGATTGGAGAACCAAGAAACTGAGAGAAAGCAAAATAGGCAGACTTGCCTCTCCGTACAACCACAGCATCTTCTTGCTCAGGGGCCTCCCAAAAATGTGAACCATAGCCGCCCCTGCTCAAGCCATGGGATTCCATTGGCCCTTGGCTAGCCAATGAATAAACAACCTGAAGTTGTTATTCTCGCTGTTTTGCCACCAAGATTAGCATTAGATGGACGCCATTGCGTGGCCTCAGAAATGGCCCTAACTACCTCTCCAAATATTGTGGACACTCTGTCCGCTTTCTTAATTTGGACCTGTAAGTGTTGCGTGAAATACGTCCATTAACCTTGGCTTCCCCAGCCTGGGAATCCAAGGCGATCTTCTGTCTTTGATTAGCGAGAAGTACATCTGGAAGTTCAGTTTACACTACGCAACCTTCCCTCGGCTGCATATCTGACTCTGTCATCTGGACCGTATAGTGTTAGTGTCAACAACAGCAATAAACAATACAAATGCAGTGAACATAAACATTTCAGAAACCGTAAGTACAACCATCATTCAGAGCTTTGCCCAACAAATGACTAACATTTTCAGCATTCTAGCCCCCTGGATTACTAATTCAAAAGGAGTTCCAGAAAAGAAATGGGGTGGGAAGAAGGGCAAATATGTCCAAATTCTGAACAGTGAAATGAAAGAGAATGTATGAGGAATAAAAATGGACACAGCAGCAAATGAAATTGGCTGAAGGTGCAGTTTTAGGGCATTGCAGTTATTCGTGATGGCACTGTCCCTCTGCTTTTCTTCATCTTAGATGCTGCTGCTATTATTTAAAAGAATTCAGCTTCAGATCTCTTTGGCTCTTCATCTACCTAACTTTTGAAGTCCTGGATGACCTTGCCCCCACACTGTCACTCTACCCTTTGTTGTTGTTGCTGTTGTTTAGTCGTTTAGTCATATCCGACTCTTCGTGACCCCATGGACCAGAGCACGCCAGGCACTCCTATCTTCCACTGCCTCCTGCAGTTTGGTCAAACTCATGCTGGTAGCTTCAAGAACACTGTCCAACCATCTCGTCCTCTGTCGTCCCCTTCTCCTTGTGCCCTCAATCTTTCCCAGCATCAGGGTCTTTTCCAGGGAGTCTTCTCTTCTCATGAGGTGGCCAAAGTATTGGAGTCTCAGGATCTGTCCTTCCAGTGAGCACTCAGGGCTGATTTCCTTCAGAATGGATAGGTTTGATCTTCTTGCAGTCCGTGGGACTTTCAAGAGTCTCCTCCAGCATGCTCTACCCTTATTTCTGGTCATATCTGACCATTTCTTCCAATCTACTTTCCTGAGCTGTCTCGAAACCCCTTCCTCCTTTATTTATCTCCCTTACTGCCCCTTTGGCCTGAAATATCTGACTAATATATTTCCATACCCTGCTTCCTTATTCTTTCCTCGGCTGAAACAAAGCCTAATTATCTGTGGCTGAAATGAAGCCCAATAATATGTAACCCATAAGCAACAAAGCAAAGCCCTGCTGAACCGAAACAAAAGCCTATCTAGTCCAGCATTCTCTTCTCGCAGCAGCCAAGCAGATGCCCACAGGAAGCTCCCAATCAGGACATGAGCTCAGTAACAGCCTCCTGTTTGTGTTCGCTTGCCCAGGTTCTGCCCTTTACACCCACAAGAACATAGAAGCTAACCAGTCAGACCATTGGTCTATCCATCTCAGTACAGTCTACGCACAGTCTGACAGTGCTCTCCAAGGTCCCATACCTACCTAGAGATGCCAAGGATTCAACTTGGGACCTTCTGCATGGAAAACAGATGCTCTGTCATTAAACTATGTCCCCCATTTCTTTTCCATGCCTCATCCTTTCCTCTTTTTCCTTTGTCTCCTCTCCATCCCTGCCAGAATATATATCATAGGCTCCTGGAGGCAAGGACCTCTCTTTTTGGTTCTCCCTTGATCTCTTCAGATCTCCACACAGCTGCACCATGTGGTGAGCTAATGACCTAGGGCTTGATGCATCTGCCTAGCCAACTTAGTATTTTGGGATCCTGAACTGTTCCCAGATACCCACACTGAGCACCAGATTCTGTTGGACAGAAGATTCTAAAGATAACGTAGACAATTTCTGAGAATTTCTTTTCCTTCACCCACACACACCAGGTGGGGGGCCAGACCACTGTGCAGACTTCCCCACCACCACCAAATATTCTCCATTTTTTGCTGATGGCCATCATTTTCCTCCCTCAGGGAGCTAGAAAAATACTAGATCTGGGGCACGGTGGAGGATTCAAAATGGTAGTCAAGCTGCCAACATAGTTTGGCCTAGGATCGGCTTTCAGCCTCATCCAACAGGGCTCTTATTGCATGTGCAAAATTAGCAAGTTGAGCAGAACGTTTCCAGATAATCTTCCTGATATCCTAAGTTATGTTCATGCAGAGGAACTTGGGTGACACAAACAAACATCCAATGCATATCAAGATTTAAAATACACATCCCAAATGTTTGATCACTGCAGTATCATTCTCCTCTGACAAGGGCAAGTGTTTTGGTTCATTCCATCCTAGGCATTTACTTATAATTTTAAAATCAATCTGTTTTGATCACCAAGATGCACACTATTAAATTATATCACATGGCTCAAAAATATGAAATATTCTCCTCTATTTCCATGACATCATTTTACAATAGACAGGAACCATGAACCATTAAACTTTTCTTTCTTCAGATCCAAACCTCTGGCTTCAACCTCCTTATGGAAGGTCAATTAAGGTTCCTTCCATCCCATGGATGTTTGCTACACAAATAGCAGGTTTGCGCTCCTTGCAACCTCAATCAGTTTTTCCTTCGTTAATGGCAGAGGAAACTTTAGCAAATGTAGTACACATTTTGCTTGCATCGGGTTTTTTTGTTTGGGCGGGTGCTTGTTAGGAGCAGTAACATATTGGATGAGATGGCAGCAGAGATAACCAAAGGCAACAGCACTAGCAGAAGAAGGTAAGCAAGACAGGTTAGTCCCATTTAAACGGACTTGGGTTATAAATCTGAAGGAACATTAAGAGTGTAAATATTTTGTTTACCAGAATTTTCTTTACATTCCCTGCTGAAGCTTACTACAGTAAACCTTGACTTTAGTCCAAGATGTGTTGCAAAGATTACCCCTTCTTGTTTATTCAGGACAAAATCATTAGGAAACCGCCTCAGCCACACTGACTGGAAATAGCTGTCCATTAGCATTTAAGATGACCTGAGGTTGTGTGTTGTGGGTTTCTGCCAGGAAACTGTTGTCCTATTATGGCAAGATACTTTAACAGGGATATAAAGAGCTGGCTTCTACTATGTCAGTCCATTGGCCCACCAATGCTGTCTATTCCAACCTGAGACCTTATTCTTGCCAAGCAATGTGCTCTATCACTGGGCTAGGGCCTCACTTGATGATTGGTTAAGATAGCCCATATCCAATACTCTCAGAAATATATGGTCAGCAAGCCAAGATGCCTATTGTTCCAATCCACAACTCAGCTATTCTGGGATATGTCTACTGAAGTCAACAAACGCTGATTCTCGAACACTCCTGTTTAACTTGAGCCAGAATAACAAGCAGGAAACAACATACTGGAGGCAAACTAAACCTACAGCTTCATTCACCAAGCCAGTGAGTGAAGAAAATCTGTGGGGGCCTAGAACTTTCTCTAGGCCACACAAAAGTATCATTTTGTTGGAAAGAAATATTGCCCTATCTTCATTTAGGTTTCAGAACAGACATTTGGGGACCAATATATTTTTAGGACACAAAAGAAGGAGGAGGAGCAGGAGGAGAAGAAGAAGAAGATATTGATTTTGTTCAGTATTCCCCGACCTGGTACCCTTCAGCTGTTTGGGACTACAATTCCCTTCAGTCTACAGCCAGGATGGCCATTGAAATCCAAAACATCCTGAGGGCACCAGGTTGGGGGGCGGGGAAGGCCAGTTTAGGCCATTTCGGTTTCATTACAAGTTACTTTATTTGCCGAACAGCTAATACTACTTCAAACATGCAGGAGATAGAAGCAGAGAGACAGGCAGATATCTGTAAGCAGCTGACAAAACAGAAGGATAAAATTATTGTGTTAAGTATTTTGGATGTTGCCTTGGGCAGAGAGGCGACAGCCAACTAAAATTCCAGGCAATGAGAGCCAACCAAGGTGAGAATTCTTAGAATGCTGAAGGATGGACAAAGTTCCCAGAAGAAATTGTGGGGACGATCACTGTGATAGCATGGAAGATCCAAGTATTATATTAACACATTCTGAAGCCAAATACTGTTTCTGTGAGAGTGGCCCTGCAAGCTGGTTGCTTTGTAGGCCATCCAGAGAACTTCTGTTAATAGGAGCTGCTGAGATGTTGTAAATAAATACTGTGAAAACAACTATCATTAATTTTGCCCGATCTGAATCTGGGATTGAACAAAATTCAAATTAGTGCTGAGGAGAAGGTTCCATCAGCACAAGAGTTATGTCAGCACAACACAATGTTCAGATTTGGAGGTCCAGCTGCAAGGATCTTCTGGCAGTTCCCTCACTGCGAAAAGTAAAGTTACAGGGAACCAAACAGAGGGCATTCTCAGCAGTGTCACCCACCCTGTAGAATGCCCTCCTATCAGATGTCAAACAGACAAACAATTATTTAACTTATAAAATTCATCTGAAGGCACCGGGAAGTTTTTTTAAAATTATTGTTGATGTTTTATTGTGTTTTTATATCTGTTGGAAGCCGCCTAGAGCAGCTATAGCAACCCAGTCAGATAGGTAGGGTATAAATAACAAAATAATAATTATTGATATTTCTTAAGGGCTTGAAAAGCCTGCTTGGCAGAGTGTGTGTGGAGAAATAGCAGTTTCCGCCAGGCTTGGAGAAGAAGGAACAGCCTGGGGGAAGTACTCAGAGTTTCTGCTGGAGTTAACTTGCCTCATAGGATATCGGAGGAGCTATTCCTGGCACCTGCCAGCAAGGGAACACTGGTCTCCATCATGTTCCAACTGCTCAGCTCCACTTTCCTTGTCTCAGAGGACACCAGGGGACTCTGCTGCATAGTGCATGGAGATGAAAGGTAGCATCAAGGAAGACCAGGGATGAAGGCAGAAAATGCCATCTGAATAATTCTGGCCCAATAGGGACCCCATATTATTTATGTCACCGAAGACTAGCAACTGACATTCTGAGGCATTCTGCCTCTGATACTGAAGGAACAAATGAAGAAGATGCTCCATTAGATACCTAATGTGCACTTTCCCAGACAATACTCAAACCAAAACACAGCTATCCTTTGAAATTTACACTTCCTCCGAATTTTGTGGTGTAGCTTTCCAACAGGGGGAAAAAAATAATGTGGAAAGTGCATATATTAATGAAAATAACATGAAAATGCACTGTTTCAGAGAAAACAGCTTACAAAAATATATATATCAGGAAAAATTCACACTAAAATGCTGATCAATTTTTATGAGGTGTTTTCTTTTCAAATTGCAAACTGATGTAGAATGTGGTGAACTGAATTTGTGATTGGAAGAATAAGTTTTTAAAAAGAACAAATTGACAGATTCATCCACTCCTAATGCCAACTTCAATGTGCACAGATAACCTTAACCTCAATGCATTTGTCTAATCACTTCTTATTCTCTGGGCTTCTCCATCAGTGTCAAAGTCCACACTCTTTGATATCAATATTCAACGGAAGAAAGTTGGTTAGCTTTCCAACGTAACACAATTTCTTGCTGTGCTGCCACCTCTAAGAGGATGGTCAGATCAATGGTGATGTAAAATGTCCTTATTCTGGCCATCAAAAATCATCAACAATGCTTCAAGAGTCACTTTCTGTTTTGTCCCTCCACCCAGTGCTCCCCCCCCCTCCAATAAGAGCACGCCAGAATACAGATGACATCAATTTTTTTAGTCCCTGTAGGGAATTCCAGGGCTGGAGAGGCCAAAGCAATGACAAACCTAGACAGCGTCTTAAAAAGCAGAGACATCACCTTGCCAACAAACGTCCGTATCGTTAAAGCTATGGTTTTTCCAATAGTGATGTATGGAAGTGAGAGCTGGACCATAAAGAAGGCTGATCGCTGAAGAATTGATGCTTTTGAATTATGGTGCTGGAGGAGACTCTTGAGAGTCCCATGGACTGCAAGAAGATCAAACCTATCCATTCTGAAGGAAATCAGCCCTGAGTGCTCACTGGAAGGACAGATCCTGAAGCTGAGACTCCAATACTTTGGCCACCTCATGAGAAGAGAAGACTCTCTGGAAAAGACCCTGATGTTGGGAAAGATGGAGGGCACAAGGAGAAGGGGACGACAGAGGACGAGATGGTTGGACAGTGTTCTTGAAGCTACCAGCATGAGTTTGACCAAACTGCGGGAGGCAGTGGAAGACAGGAGTGCCTGGCATGCTCTGGTCCATGGGGTCACGAAGAGTTGGACACGACTAAACGACTAAACAACAACAACAACAACAACAACCCAGATGTTTTGAAAGTTTGTAGGAGTTTTCATTTGTTTTAGCCTATCTATTGCAGTTCTAACTTTCTGTATGTTTTAAATAACAGTTGTCATTTTTTTCAGTGATAATTACATTGTTTTATATTTTCTGTAAACAGCTTTGGGTTTATGAAATTTTTGAAATAAATAAAATAAGTAGCACTTCTTGTTTCCAGTATTCACTAGACCTCTCTCACACTCGTACATTGGGAGAGCTGTTACCACGGCAATATGCTGAGGCCTTCGAAGGCCTTTTGAAGGCTGGCTGGCCTTATTAGCCCTCTGAGGACCCTCATTTCAAGGACCATAGGCCTATTCTGGAATTGC